AATTTGCAAATATTTTGCTAGCAGTGATAAGGATTTAGTTGTCGTTGATTCTTATTTAGACAATGACAACATTGGTTCCTCTGAATTATTCTGTGGGTTTAAATTAAGTAATCCACAGACTATATCAGTTAAAAAGCCAATAGTTGGTAAGAAATATACTGACATTAAGTTAGGAGATGGTAAATCTTATTCTAAGTTAGGTAGGCATGCTGCAGCTAGACAATCTAAACTTGCTTTTATATTCCTTCGATTATTAGCTTGTTCAGATTTGGAAAGTGATTTGTCTATCTTGTTTTGTGATTCTGTGTCTTGTGAAAAGTCTATGTTTCATTGTGTTGCAAATAAGTTGGGTTTAGTTAGGCAGTTAAGTGTTTCTGATGCTGTATAGCTGCAGAGCCAATTAAGGATGCCCACGGCTGAATTTCGTAGACTAAGACGTATTCTGTGTAATCTTGGTGCAAGGATTCTCCCATCTGAGCCCAAGATAAGACAAGAACAAGAAATGCGGACAATACATGTTAGTAAAGAACATGTTACTGTAAAGTCCATGTTGCTTTATCCATCTGCGAATGAAGCACCTTGTTTAGTACCTGTATTGATGGTCAAGAATTTGATAACTTATATTGAAGAGGTTTTCAATAGTCTGCACGTTCGTGACCACTTCAATTCTGATGTCGGTTTTTGCGAAGAGATATGGCTCCTTTTTGCCGGGGATAAGGGTGTGAAGTTTATGAAATTCCATTTTGAAGTTGTCAATTCTAAATCATCAGGGTCTGTATATGATGTTCATTTATTTTGTATGTATCAGGGTTCAGACTGTCGTGAGATTATTGCCTTAGTTCTCGGGCATTATGCCAACGACATTAAAAGAATTCAGTCGTCAGATTTTAAGCTAAGAGGCAAAATAGTCAGGTTGTTCTTAGGTGGAGATTTTCATTTTATCGATGATGTTCTGGGACACCAGGGTTCAGCTGCTAGCTTTCCTAGTTCTACAGACCTAGTTAAGTTGAATCCTCTAAGAAACCATGCTTCTATGCCTCACACACCTGCTAATTGTAACATCTTAAGGAGGACAATACAATCTCTGGAAAGTGCTTACAATGAGAACTTGTGTAAAGATAGACAAGGTGGAAACCTAAGAGCTCTAGGTAAGTTTCATAATTCAATTATTGCTCCTGTGATTTTCCCCATAATAATTTTAGATAATGTAGTGCCACCTGTTTTGCATATTACGTTAGGAGTTGTGTTAAAACTTTATAAGTTATTGTTGAAGGAGTGTAAGACTTTGGATTGTCAAGCTGTTTCGTCTTTGTCGCATAATGAGAATGTCAGAACGAATGAATTGTGGGCTGCTAAAAGCTTTGAATGTTCTAAAACAGCAGACTCTTTACGTTTATTAGGAAATCAATTTGTAGACGTTGCAAATCTACAGACTCGTTGGTTAGCTTTTGATAAAAATATTTCTGAATTGGAATGCATATCTCTAAACTCCTCAAATAAAAAAAAAACCTGTAAACAGCAAGAAAAGTGTGCTAGTATCAGGTGTTTAATTACTAAATATGATTGTAACATTGATTGGGTGCAGTGTGGTACGTGCCAAAAATTGTTCCATCAATTTTGTGAAATTATTGGTGGTTCGGAAAAGAATGTATTGTGTGATATAGAGAAGTATGAGTGTTTAGCATGTCAGGGTGAAGATTTAGAATGTCTTGACCTTTATATTTCTGAAAAAATTTCTTTTATACGCGCACAGCGCGAAGTTTTAGACGTTGAGTATATTCGATTGCAGATAGAGTGTGAAGACCTAGAAAAAATATCTATAAGTAGCGTGGGGACTCATGAGAGGTCTCTTTATTAGGCCCTTGAAGATATGAAAGTTGAGCGACAAGCTTACCATGGTAATGTATTTGTAGGTAATCATTGTAAAATAGTATTAAGAAACCACTATAAACTTTGTAGTGTTATTGATGATGAAGCAATTAAAAATAGATTTGTACGTGTGTTTAGTGTTTTTAATAACTTGCAACCTATTCTTTTTAAGCGAAAATTTCTTTCTGATGCCGAAATTTCTGAGCTTCATCAATATATAAATTTATTTGCTATTGAGTTTCATGCTTGCTTTCCAAAAGAAAGTATCACGCGAAAAATGCATGAACGCATTTTCAATGTGCCACTATTTGTAAAATTGCATAAAACTATTGGGTTGCTGAGTGAAGAGGAGGGAGAGTGTTTGCATAATAGCGTAAATAAGGAATTAAGGCAGTTGCATTCAGTTAGAAATCAGGAGCAAAAGCTGCATCTTGTTTTAAAACGCTTTGAATTGCACAGCAAAGCTGATAGGAAGCTTCAAGCCTCTGAGAAAGTGTGTTGTGTGTTCAGAGCGTGGCGAAAATTCATTTTATAGACAAGGTCTTTGTCTTGTTTGTGGTCATCAAATTTAGTTTAAATGTTTGAAAAGTTAAAAAAAAAAATTAAACTTTTTACATCTAAGATAAATTATATAAGATCCTTAATTTACAAATAAGAGAATTCTATTCTGTTTTAATGCCTGTAATGTTTGTTCAAAATAATAATAATTTTTTATTACAATGATTTTATATATTAGGTAGATGCCCATTCTGTTCCTATTTTCAAAAGTTTATTATATCTATACAATGCCTTTGCTCAGGTTAAAGAATGGAATAAAAGTCTAGCATCAAATGTATAGCTAACTATTTTAATTTGTGATCAGAGCAACTGGTATGTTTGTTGGATATGATTTTGTATGTTTATGTAGTTAATTCAAAAAACGTTTTATCCTTTGTTTTGTAATATGTAACATTTTTTATATATATTAGATCTCCGTTCAATTTTTATCATCAAAAGTTAGTTCTACCTTCGCAGGACCTCTGCTCTACATACCTCCTCTCTGGTTAAAAAATGGAATATAAGTCTCATTTATCAAGTTGGTGTAAAAATTTAGCTTGATAAATTAAGAAGTTGTAAACTTTATTATCACAATTGCCAAGTTGACCAAATGTTCTTCTGGTTTTAAATGAATTATGTATAAGTCTAGTATCATCTGGGTGTTCAAAGATAGTTTACTGCTTGAAGAACTTATCAATGGAACAACTAATTATAAAACAGTTTTTAATGAAAATAAAAACGAATTATCAAAAGATTTAAATCAGCTATTTGTGTATATTTAAACACTTTATTTTTTGTGAGAAGAGATTATTGATACAAGTACCATAAAATAATTCTACTACCAAAAGCTAGGTTAATTCAAAACCTTTAACTCAGTTTTGGTCATGAATTATTTTATTAGAATTGATAAGTTTTTATTTATTAACTACCTAACACCATATTATTAGAACTTTATTTTGTAATGTAATGATTTTATCAGCGTTCCAAAATAATTTTCTAAATCAAGAACTTCTATATTAAAAAAAGTACTCAATTAACAACTAATCCCCTCTTATAACGACGTTTTTCATAATTTTGCGAAAAATGTGGTTTGCTTTCACAATTCGATTAAGGCTGTTTTAGTTAACCTTAAATAATTAAGTAAGGTTTTTTTGTTTTCATTATTGTCAAACAATAAGTGTATTTGATAATAACTATTAGGAATATATTTTTCTAATTTTTTTTTGATAAAAAGTAACATCAAATTACAAAAATTTAGCCAAATTCAATATATGTCATATTTATTTTAAACTAAAAGAAGTTTTTCTACAAATGCATTTAATGTCATAAGGTAACACATTTTATTGATGTCTTAATTGTTTTTACAAAACAAAATTACCTCTTATATTTCAAAAGTTATAAAAGTTTTAGTAACACCCCTTTAGTCAATATTTTCAAAAATTAACAAGAAGCCGTTAAGCTCGGTTTGAAACAGCCGTGAGACACTTTTACGGCCAAAATTCTAGCTGTAAAAGCAACATCGATGAAAAAGGCAGTGTGTTTAAGTTTAGTCACTTAACTTTTAAACACTATCTTTAAGGCGCAAAAAAAACATTTTTCAATTGTTTTCCCCGATATTTACAAATAGGTATGTCGTTAATTTGTATTTTAAAAATAAAATAATAAAAGTTAAAATATGACATTTAATATTTTATTTCAAACAAATAAAAATATTTAAAAAAAGCTAAAGACCAACTGTACCATATCATAAGTTTAGTCATTTTATTTAACTGATTTTAAACTGTAAGTTATTTATTACATGTTATTTTTAAAAACGTTATTATAAATAAATTATATTTGAAAAAACATTGGTTTTTGATTAATCTAAAACATTAATCAAAAACCATAGTCATAAAAAGTAAAATAAAATTCTTATGACTATGTCAAAAACTAACGAAAATACTTTCCTTTAGTAAGCACTTTAGTAAGTAACTATGGATTTAGATTAAACAACTGCAAGGTTATCATTTTTAAATTTTACTTTTTTAAACAGTTGTATTCCAAAATAACATATATATTTATACATAAGACAAACTATGAAGGTAATGAATAATTTTATTAAATGGATTTTATTCTATAAATTAAATTAAAAATATTACCAGATAAATGTTTTTATATTTTATACATTATAATTTTTCCAAAGAATAGAATTAAATAAATTTTATGATTATAGAATTTTTATTCCATGTTTTTCTATGAAAAAAGACAACACAATGTTACGTAGTGTATAACTTTTTTTCGAAATCATTGATTAATAAATTACTAAAAAAAAAGACATGAATTTTTCTGGGACATGTTTTATATGTATGTATGTATGTATATGTGTATGTATGTATGTACATATCTAAATTTTGATATTAAGAATATATTAAATAAATTTACTAAATATACATAAAATATTTTAAATAAATTTACTAAATATACATAAAATATGCATGCATGTATGTATGTATGTATGTATGTATTTATATGTGTATGTATGTATGTACATATCTCAATTTTGATATTAAGAATATATTAAATAAATTTACTAAATATACATAAAATATTTCTAGTCCAACTCATCAAAAGAAAATGTTTCTATAAAAACACACAGCAAAATATCTCTATCAACTCGCAATAGTGGAATATACTGTAGAATATGTCAAGACAATAAAGCAACTGAGCCCCTATTATCTCCATGCTTATGTACAGGAACAATCGGTTTTTTACATTCCGCATGTTTGGAAAAATGGTTAAGTCAGGCAGCAAGAAAAAAGTGCGAGCTTTGCAATTATGAATTTTGTACTGTTATGACATCAAAAGGAATATGGGAGGTTAAAAGGATTTTAAAATGATTAAAAATTTTGACTAAAAAGATGTTTGAATAAACAACCAGATTTTTTTTTTTATTTACTGGAATTCAGAATGATTTGGCAAAACAATTATTTTCCGATGTAAAGCTGTAATCACTTGATCTTTAAAATATAACTTTATATTGAATTAAAAATGTTTTACTTTAAAACAAATATTAAAATAAAATTTTTTAAAGAGAGTTTTGATTTCTTTTTATTTAAGAGAGTTTTTAACTCTTTCCTTCTTACCTGTATAACAACTTAAAACTTATGTGTTTTTTTAAAAAGTTCAAGTGTGATCTGTATTGTAAACACACATAAATATGTTAAAAATAGTAAGCTATTGTAATTTTAAATTTAATTTTTGTTTAGTGGATACTTTCACGAAATCTCTCAAGTGATCGACGTTATATTTTTATTGATGCCGCATGCTTTTTCATTTTAACGCCGTTGGGTTTTGTTAGTTCATGGCTTTGCATACAAGGTGCTCAGCAATACTATACCCACGATGAATTTTGGACCGGTTTTGGGCTTATTTTACTCACCGGTTTTTTAGCAATGCTTTACCTGTTCTGGGTTATAATTACAATTAGGTACCATTATTTATCTTTTAAAAATTGGCAACGTAACAACACTGAAGTACGAGTTGTGTTTTCGAAGGAACGTTGTAATGAAGTAGCAAGAAAAGCGAGTTCAATCATTTCAAACGTTCACTCCGTCGAAAACGGCGAGGTTGAAGTTATTCAGCATAAAACATTAGATACAAAGCAAACTGTCGCTAATGACTGCATGGTTACAGATGTCTGATAAATTGGAATCAAAAAAAATTAAATTGAAAAAACAAACTTCCTTGCTTCTTATGTCTTTTTATAATGCTCTTTTTTATGAGATAGAATTTTTATATTTTTGATAATTGGTATTGCATATTTAATAACTGTAATAGTATTAAATGTATACTAAAATATAATAATGTACTTTATTTAATTTAGGTAATATTGTCTTTTGTTCAAAATATGACGTAAGCGCAGCTCTTGCTCGTCCTTTATAAAAAAAAAGAGAATAAAAAATGTTAAAGGGCTAAATAAAAATGCTAAATAAAAAAGAGATTAAAAAATATTCAATATTTTGGGAGTCAGAAGCATGTTTAGATTTTTTTTTGTGTTCGATAAGATTTTTTTATAACAATAAAATTAAATTTATAATTTGGAAAAGTAGTAAAAAGAATTTTTTTTTTTTGTGTGGTTATTAAGATGGTCTTAGAACAGAACACCGCGGAAGAGTATTTAACTTGAAAGATTTTTTTTTTTTTTTTTTTTTTTTTTTTTTTTTTTTTTATACAGTTTACATTTGTTGTCGTAGTAAATAAATTACTTTCACAAACACAAACAAGGTTTCTGAAAGAAGATCGTACTGATCTTATCATCAGAACCTTTTACAAACGTGTGTATATAAACTACATCAAAACATAATCAACAAATAAAACGTAATAAACAATAAAAGTTCTAAAGAAAATATAAAGTTAAAAAAATCTGACTACATCATCCATTAAGATAATTAAATTTTTCAGTTTATATTTAAAAATGGGAAAAGTAAAATGCATGTTAAAATTGGACAAAACAATTTTATTCCAAAGATAAGGTGCACGATATGCAATGCAAAACTGATTAAAACTGGTTCGACAAAAGGGCTCATATATAAAATTATTGTTTCTAAGTGTATATTTATTTATTGGCTTCAAACAAAAGAGATCTTTGAAAATGGGTAAAGATATGTCATTTTTCCACATATACATAAAGCACAAAACATTAAAAACATTAAGCTCATAAATATTGAGAACTTTCATTTCAATAAAAAAGGGTTTGGAGTGAGTGTATCGATCCGCAAGATCGCTTCCTTCCTTACCAATATTGCTTATTAAAGCCAATATCGCTTATTAAAGCCAGCGTGAAACCTCGGAACTTTTGGTTCTTAGCCAGAACTCTAACCACTGCGCCACAGCTGCACATTCAACTTCTTTATTGTAATTAACGGTTACGCAACGAAGGTAAATTTGCAGTTATTAAGTTTGATAAAATTTATTGTCGAGATTTTAGAAAGTAAACACGCGAAGTTTTATTAAGCGAAACGCTATTTTAACTATTTTTAATAATGACGAACTTAACAATAGATTTTGAAAAACTACACTTTCCCAGCAAACATGTAAGCGTTGAATCAACGTTGAAAACCAGTCGCAGCGTAGAAAAAGCGTTACAGTCACAAAAACAACGCGCTTTCAACGTTGAATCGATGTCTGTTTTTGTATACTAAATCGCGGTAAATTGAAACGTTGAATAAGCGTTAAAATTGTAACGTAATTTAGCCTCTCAAAAGAAAACGTTTATTCAACGTGGAATCAACTTACGCAAAAAGCCACTTTAAAAAACGTTTCGAAGTATATTCTTAATCAACGTTAAAAGCAAACCGCCTTTTAAATGTTACATTTTCAACGTTGAATAGGCGTATAAATTTAAACGTATCTTATCTTCTCAAAAAAATGCGTTTATTAAACGTTGAATATAAGCACGCAAATAATCACTGTAAAAACGTTGCAAAGGTAATGGTTTATCAACGTTAGACATTAGCTGCTTTTTCAACGAATTTAAACTATTTGAAAAACATCACTTATTCAACGTTTTTTCAACGTTGGTTGAAAATGTGGTAATTAAAAAACGTTGAAAAAGTGTTACTTTGCCAACGTTAATAAAACGTTGTTTTGACAATGTTGAGGAAGTGGCACATTGAAAGTTATTGTCTCAATAACTAGCCCAGGGGCGGATCTAGGATTTTATATAGGTGTAGCTAAAATTTGTAAAATTACGTCATAATAAATCGGTTAGTCTACGTCAAAAAGACGTCTGACAATTACGTCATGTAGACGCCGCCAGACAGTTCTTTTATCTGAGCGTTTTTAATTCAGTTTTTGCACACATATTTTTTTCATTTATTTTTAATGGATTCTAGTAAAATAATTAATGGTAAAATATAAAATTTGCCTTGGCTATTCTGTTCGTAATTTAGATATGTCTAATTTACTTAACGAAGTGCACCAACTAGAAGGTAAGCCATAGGACTTTGCACTCCATATGTAAGTTGTTATGCTGTCTAAAGTTAGCTTTCTATAGGTACGTGTGTAAAATTTTTAAACCATTTATTCATTTAAGTATTATATATGGTTCGAAAGAGCTTTGAATATATATTAAAATGGTGAAAATTTTATGAAAAACGAACAATAACAAAAAAAGTTATGCTTATTTAAGTAACATTATTTTTATGAAAAATTGCTTAGGAAAAATGCAACCATCGTAAAAAACTCGCGTTCGGCTAACGGTAGCTTTGTAGAACGTTATTGATAATTTGCGCATGATTTTGCTTAGTGAAATGTGCAAAACATTTTTAAAAAAAGTTTTAATATAACAAAAATTTTTTAACAATTTATAACAAAAATATTGTTAATGATAAATACCTAATATTAAAATCTATAACAAAATTTTAAATAAAATATCGTGTATTTTAACGATATTTACAATATATATATATATATATATATATATATATATATATATATATATATATATATATATATATATATATATATATATACACACATTTATACATAATAATGGTTAAGGTTATATATATTTATGTTATTAAATATGTACCAAGGCTAGGTTTTCTATAGCGTATAGATGAACTTTAAAGACATTTAAAGCCTTAGCGTTTTCGCTCTCTATTTATGCTTATTTTTATCTTTTTCAATGAAAGATATATATAGATATAAAAATATATTTTGCCAACTAAATAAACAAAAAATTCATTCACGGAAGAGGTCTCACCTCCCTCTTTAATGGCCGTCGACACCATAGGGGGCTATGCCTCCTCCCCCACTAATTGCTTCGAGGACCTTTTTTTTAGAAATGTAGGTTGTTTTTTTTGAAAATAGGGAGTTGGCCCCCCTCCCCACTTTAAAAGCCGTGTCAGTTACACCATATAGTTTAACTAAAAACCTACTAAAAAATATCCAACTAAACAAATGGGTGGGGTGGGTGGGGGGATGTCCACCACTGCTCCCCTTCCTTTTCCCTTCCATAGCCCCATATATCTAATTATATATAAATTCCAACAAACCGCAAAAACTAAAACTATTTTAAAACACACTTCTTTAACAAAAAAAATTCTTTTTTGCTCAGTAATGTTTTTAACAGAATTGTGGCTTTGAAAAAAGCCTAGAATTTGAAGCAAACAAAACTGTGACATCCATAGATAGAAAGAGTCGATTCTTTAGTACGCAAAGGAAACCACATCCAATAATATCTAAAATAAAGTAAAAATTTCTCAAAACTAATATCGCAATACCTATTTAATAAGGATGCCTTATGTCCCAGATAATAAATAATATATAACTGTTATTACTGCATTAATAAACACAATAAACCTCTAAATAAATATGATCTAACCGGTTTAATCTTGATATGAAAAAGATCAACATCCACTGAAGCAACCATGTAGTTTTCATCATGTTGTTTAACCTTGCAATAAGAAAAAATATATCAGATATAAAATTAAAAAATATATAAAAATTAAGGCTAACAATTAACTAATGTATAATGAATTAACATTTATTTGTAATTACTGAATTAATAAATATAATCTTGAGGTCTTTAACATAAATATCCACAGTAGCAAATTGCCATTATTGTTAAAACCTTGCAATAAAAATAAATGAAAATGCATTAGATATTTAGCACCATAACTGAAAAACCCATTAGAGATTACTAAATATGAGAATGATTTATAAAGTTAAAAAATTCAAAATCACTTAACTCCTGATACACAACAAACATCCCATTACCAAACAAAAAAATCGATAGCCGACCCTTCAATACTGTTTAACCTGAAATATAAAAGATTTGATTAAAAATTATAATGAAGAAAAAATTATCTGCTCATTACTCTCTGGTAATGGCAAGCAAATAAATAATAAATAAAAATTTTAATTTTAAAGGGATTTATTGTAATGGAACACTAACATCTCTCAATCCACGCAAGCGAAACTCTGTTATACTTGATAGAAAAATGCATTGCCATCATTGATAATGATAAACATCAATGATAAACATTAATTGTCATAAGCCAAGCAATTTGCTTATGTCAAAAAGTAAATGAGCTTTGGTTTCCCATAGCACGTTGCAACCAGGTCAACCCTGGTTGTTGGATGTCGGTAACTACCCGACTACCTAAAATTAAACTTCTATATAAATATATGTATATATAAAAACAAATTAAAAAATTATAAATCTTTTCATAATACTACAAAAAAAGGAAGGAATTAGATATATATTAGGCATTGCAAAATTTATTCTTAAAAAAAAAAAAGAAATTCACCTACTATCTGTAAATAATATCTGTTAATGCAAGTTTATAAGACATAATAATACTTAAAATAACATATACCTTATTATTACACAATTCTGTTATGTTATCACCATATCACCGCTTATTATGTCTGCAGAAAGTTGATATTTGCTCATATCATACTCAACACCGTCATCATCTTCATTTTCTTTTGGTTTCCAATAAGAAACTATATATATATATATATCATTGTTCTTCTTTTTAATGCAAACAATTCTGCCGTAATATACCTCATGGGTGTTATTGGCATTATCGAACCTCATGTGGCAAATACTTCTTCCAATAGCAGCTCCAATAAGAATTTCTTCAATATCTGAGGCCTCGTTATTTTCTAGGTCAGGAAACATTTCTTTTACCTGATCGGGCATGCAACTTTTTAATATTTTTTCTACCTTTCTGCGGTCTTTGTCCTCCCTTTTCTGAATTTTATCCGCTATTCGTTTTAGCAGTTCTAACTTCAGTTCATTATGACATTGCATACTTGTAAATCGATTTTTCCTGGCATTAGAGATAGCCCATAATATCAACTTGTTTTGAATATCAGTTGGCTTTTTACAAAGCAGAGCAGTTGTTTTATTTTTGCAAGCACGAAGTTTCGAAGAAAGTTTCAAATAAAAAATTTGATTTTGAAGTTTTTTTAACTGTATATTTAAAAAATGTTCTTTTAATTTTTTTCTAAGTTGATGAATTATCTTTTCCTTACAAGCAATAACTTGATTTAGATATTTTAATCTGTATGGTCTAGCCTTTGCCTTTTCTCTTAAACCTTTAAGATCTTCTTTATGTTTTCTCTTTTTAATTGCGATTTTCCAAAATGGTTAATCTCTTTCTCATAATCTTTTTCCTGGGACTAACCAGGTCAGCTCTCAACCTAGATAATGATTCTTGAGAAGAGTCACTATTTGATAGAGACGAAACAGCGATTTGCTGAGAAAAAAATGAAGAACACGTAGCTATGTGATTAGAGGTTGTGATTAACTGTGATGTTTGAGTCACAGCAGATGTTGTTGGTTGGTATTCAAAGAGCATGTTGCAGATGTCAATAAATTGTTTTGAATTTCGTGAAAAACCTTTTACAAAGACTTTTGATTTTTTAACTAATTGCAGAATCTGATTGGGAAAAATGTTGATGTTAAAATACTTACTGATTAGTTCTACAGTTACTTGGTATGAATCATTGTTAGTTGCCAATATATGCAGTACATGTCCATTTCTACAGCCCATATTTAAATGAGCTGGTATTGGAAAATTACAAACTAAATAAGATTTAGCTTTACCATAAAATAGATTTGTTTTCTTTTTAGGTCCCATGATGCACTAAATTAAATTCAACGATCATAACACTACTTTAATTGTAATTTAATCATTATTAATATTTAATTACTATTTAATTGGGTCAGCAATCAATCACAATTAACTAACTAATAAATTGCCTTTAGTCAATAAAAAATTATAGATATATATAATTTTTATATAAATAATGCTGTTTGGTGGTTATATGATAAATTATGGGTACAGAAAAAAATTGAGAAAATGCTGTTTTTGTTTGTTATCATTATTTCGCATTTTATTCTGAATCACCATAAAAAAGTGTCATAATTTTTATTTCAGCATTTGAAATTAGATTTAACAGAATTTAGCCTTGAAACTAATTTTGGTGTGTGAAATCATCAATAGTGTTAGTAATATTATTACTAACAACTTTTTTTTTTCAATAGCCATTTATTACTAATAAAAGGCTATTGAAAAAAAAATTGTCTACCTTTTTAATGAAAGCTATCTATATATCTCATTATTATGAATAAACAATCTAATATACCAAATGCTCACCATCAAATTACGCCCCCCCTCCTTCCCCGTGGAAATACATACCTCCACTGTACAGAAAAATAGGGTGTCTGCGCATGAATATTTTTTAATGAAATTTGGCAGGCACATAGAAAATAGATTTATACTGCTTACTGGAAAATTTTAAAAGTGTAGCAACATGCCTTCAATATTAATGTACCTCCAGAACAGAAACGAAATTTGAAAATCTAATAAAAATCACTAGTAAATGTAAAAAAAATAACGGAATTTATATCAAGAAGTAACAGTAACATTAACAGAAACAGTTTAATAAAGTGTAACAGTAACAGTAGTTGTAAATAAGGTGGAAAATGTACCTCCACTGTACAGAAAAATAGGGTGTCTGCGCATGAATATTTTTTAATGAAATTTGGCAGGAACATAGAAAATAGATTTACACAGCTGACTGGAAAATTTTAAATGTGTAGCAACATGCCTTCAATATCAATGCACTTCCAGAACACGAACAAAATTTTAAAGAGCAATAAAATCACTGAAAAACTTAATACTTTTGGGAAAAAAACATAATTTATACAACATAAAACATTCTACTTTTCAAAAAAAGTCTAAGCTGATATAAAATTCTAAAAAAAAAGACTAATAAATACATCCTTACCACACCGACTTCGAGCACGCTGTGAAAAAAACGGTCACAGTTTTTTACTTATAAATCGGTGCCGTAAATAGCCAGATACGCACGTACCTACTTTCTAATTCTGGATTCTTTCCTTAATATTTTTGTTACTAATAGAATAAATGCAACTATAACAATATGATATCGTAATTTATTCAAAAGATATTTACTTATATATTACTAAGATATTAAAGTTGTATATTACTATATATAAATATATATTAAAAAAAAAAAAGATTTGAACAGTCTCATTATCTATAGAATCCTCAGGAAGCTAATTTATAACATCTTTGTTTTTTATGATTATCGAGCACTCTTTTTGTAGCGTACTCAAATGAAATCAACACATATTTAAATTTTTTATTTAGTGGTTTACATTATTTAGCTTAGAACAATTTTTAAAACATTTTACATTTTAGATGTCAAGAATTATGAAATGTACACAAAATAGAAAATAAATTTACTTATTAAACATTTATAAAAAATAAAAAAAGATGCTCTAAGAGTAAATTAAACAATAAAAAAAATAAAATGATTGTAAATATAAGAGAGATTCAATTAATTTATTCACATATAAATATAATTATTATTCAATTATAGCCAATTATTTAAGGCTTAAATAGCAACTTTAAACATCTCTCTCCATTAGCTGAAAATTTTATGGTATCAAGACCCGTCTTTATCAAGAATCATTTCAGTATAAATTGACATTAAAGCTAGGTCATTCAATGACTTTTTTAACACTCTACTTCTTGAATAAGTTTTTAATCTCTTGGTATTGTACCTAGAATTAAACCTTTAAAATATTCAAAAATGTTGATGAAATAAGTCAATGTCATGAGTTTTGTTTATAAAATACTAGATAGGGGTTTTGACTGATCTTTCTAATTAGGCTTCCATAATCCAACTCTGCATAAATAAAAGTTGAATGCAGAGTTAGAATGATAGATATCTAGAAATTCCTGAAAGATTTGCAAATCTTAGTTAGTTTTCAAGTAGCTTAACATGACAGTTGGAACTGCACACATCCCATATAAACCAACTTGCTTTTTGTTTGAAATTTTATATAATTAAGAAGTTCATTAACAAGATGGTCCAATAGAGGTAAAGTGATAGAAAGCTTAAAAAAATCAGATGATGAGTGATTATCATGATTGATTTGCTTTCCACATTTTCTAGTTTTTTTGTTCTTTTACATTTAAAG